GGTACAGTTTCATTATCCCTGCAGTCCAATAGAAGCATGAAGCTGAAGAACCTCCTACCCAGCTCTGCCAAGCAACTGAGCTGGGTAGATTCTGATTGGATAGAAACGGCCCCTTTTATCTGATCACTTTCTCACCTTTTTGTTTCTGTTTGATTATTAGTTTCTGAATGAATATAAAATTATTTACACTTTTATCAGCTCCATCAGAATCGGTCCCCCTTAGCACCTTGTGGGTCCAAGACAGTGTGAGGATGATGAAGCTTCTGCTTCATCTTCTGTGTTCAGCCAACATTAGAGAACAGCTGGAACCTACCAAGGTTCTGTCCGTCCAACAGGTCCGGTCCAACTGATGGTTCTGTTTCATTGTCTGACTCCACAGCTCATCCCTGATTCCAATAAACCTTCATCTAACCAAACCTGTCGTCTCTCATTGATTGTCTCTCTGTCTGCTTCATGCTGCCTTTAAGGGTTGCTGGAAAGCTCGGTCATCCCGGTTGTCATGCGTCTCTATCATCGCCTTCAGCTCAGTGATGATGGACGGAAGACCACCATGACAATCTACTGCCACTAGGAGGCGCCTCTGGCTTCTGGTTGGAGGGTTTGTGTTTGGAGCTCTGAGCTCTTGAAAGGGGTTCAGTTAAGAACCAGAAATGCAGGGGGGGGGGCTATACGCAGGCACGCATCCAGATCTAGATCACCTAGATTTTTGTGACAGAAACACACAGTTGGCTGTGTAAAAGCCTTTATATTCAACCAACAGCTGATGAAATAAAGCAAGTTGCTGTTTAAAAACAGAAAATGAAGTCAGGTAACTATAACCTAGAAAATGTTTAACAGATCTTATCTCAGCCCACAGTGGGCCGAAGTTAGGAGGCCCTGCAGAGACTTTGGCTCCTGAAGGAGCTGCTGCTCATCTCCTCCTCCTCCATCATTCAGTCTGTCCATCACTGACCGGTTCAAACCAGAATGAGGGTTTGAACTGCTCTGTTTAAGGAAGGAAGGAAGTCCTTTATGTTTACAGAGAAAAACTAACCTTAAACACTCAGATTCCGGCTTTAGAAAACCTCCAATGCAGCCATAGAGCTGATTCCTCCCCGCTATCATCGCAGCCCCCGTCACTATGCAAAGGACCAAAACATCTGGCCTGGTCAGCCTGACAAACAATGACCCTAACCCCCCCCTTTCAGAGACATAGACAGGTATGGGGCATTGCAGGCTAACAAAGAAGCCAAATGACCCCCA